GGGACCAAAGGACCACGGGACCAGGGGACCAGAGGACCGCAGGACCAGAGGACCAGAGGACCGCAGGACCACGGACCACCGGACCAGAGGACCGGAGCCTGTCAGGACTCGAGCACCAGGCGAGGCCTTGGGCGCAGAGGGCAATTTTTTTTGATCCTTGTCAAATATTTTTTTGATCTTTGGCCAATTTTTTTGATCCTTATCAATTTTTTTGATGCCTATGCCCTAACCGTATAAGCCATGTAAGCCCTATAAACCCCAAACCCTACATACTCCACAACTACATAATTCTTCTGCCGGATTGCCTTTGAGGCCGGCACCCCCGACACGACAAGCCGCACGCCCTCCACCACGTCCTGGTTTAGGGTTTAGGGGTTTACCATGGGAGCTTAGGGGTAAAAGGTGTGTCTTTTGGAAGACCAAAGCCGTTTAGAGTGTAGCCATCATCTGGTGATTGGGGTCTGAGGGTGGAGCGGCTTTGAAAGGCTGCGTCGGAAAACAAGCCCTATTCACCTCATTTTCAGTAATCCCTATAATCCCTGTATCCCGGTAAAGGCACCGCAGAGGGAAGGCCTTCGTCTAAAGTCACCCCCTACACCAAACTAACCCCAAACCCCAAAACTCCAAACCCCCAAACCCTAAACCCCAAACCCCACACCCCAAACCCAAATTCTAAACCCCAAACCCAAACCCGAAACCCTAAACTCTAAACCCCCCCACCGAAAAAACAGCAGAAACGAGGCTCCTCCCACTCGGCCTCTTCGATCACGGCTCGGGTGCAAGCAGCGTAGGCCCTGACCTTCTGAGCGAGAATAGGGTCCCTGTAAGAGGTTCTAGACGGGTATTTGAGGGTTTAGAGTCTAGGGTTTTAGGGCTTTAGGCTTTTAGGGTAAGAGCATGGTGATGATTGGGTTGCAATAATGAGCCCATGCAACACTCTGGAGTATGGGTTTCGGGGACTCGGGGGTTTACGGGGCTGACGTTTAGTTGAAGGAGTTTAGGGCGAAGCTTGGGTTTCGGGCTTGAAGCTTCAGGGAGCCTGGGGTCTCGGCTTGGGTTAAGGGTTTTTCGGGATGCGAAGCCATCAAGCTGGGGACAGGGGCGCCAGGCCTCCAAACCAGGCGACTGTCGGCATCAAACTGACGGTGATGACACTGGTGGCCCCTGGACATGATCGTAACGATTGTGACGGAGGTCATCGCGATGAAGATGAAGACGAACAGTAACATGACCATGAGGCCATGATGAGGAACACGAAAATCAATCTTAAGACATTCTGGCGGCAATGTTTATGGTTCTGTCTACGCCTGTTCAGGCTAAGTTTACTTCTGTAAAGTCGAGGCCATGGTTTAACGCTAGTGGTGATGCTCGTCATGATGATGGTGATTGCAGTGGTCATCATGATGCTACTGACGATGTTTAGGATGACGATGACCATGCTGGTGGTGATGGTCGGGTGGTGCCTATAATCCAAAGGACCACCCCCAGCATCATCGCCATAGCATCATCATGCGAAGGGGCATAGGGTTCTTGGTGTTGAAGGGAAAACCCTACAGCCTAGCAGTGGCTTAAGCGTTCCTTTGCCGTGGATTCTCTGAGGTCGGAGCAAGGCCGCCTGTCCCCAACTTGATTCCACCAAAATACCTCTGCTTGTGTTCAGGGCAGCTTAGGTTGTAGGGTAGGGAAGTTAGATAAAATAATAGGGGTTGCTTTATGAACATCTTACATTAAGGTCAACAAAAAACCAGTAATTGGGCCTGTCTGGGGTACAGATTAGAACATACTGTAGTATAGTACAACACAATTAGGTACCCTATACACTATGTAGTACCATGATACAACATGTCATCTCTACGGTTAGGGTATGGGGTTCAGAAGCAAGCAAACCCAAAGCATAGTGCAAGACAAAAGCCATGCAACACGTGCTCGAGGAAAAGCAAAAAGGGTTCAGACCCACTTGCAGTCTAGCTTTGTATTATCCTTGGGCCTGCAAAATGCCGTTGAGGCTCACGTATACTCCACTTGGGAGTGTTGGATAATAGTAGTGTTGCACTGAATCCTGAAACAATTTCGGGTGCACCTCGGGTGCTTGATCTCCGCCGTCCTTCTTGCTGGCATGTTGCCGAGTCACCACGACCACCACACCGAAGAGGCCAGACCCTTCAAGAACTGCACGCATGGGCATACCTCTTTCAGAGCAGAAACCCCCAAATCGTCAAGTATAGCCAAGTTTGAAAGCAATAACCTACGGTTTCGTATCCTGCCTGTGATGAACAAGCCTCACACCTTGTAGACTGCCTACCTAAACTTGGGACGGACCACAGCAAGTGCCCGAAACGTCAGTAGGAGGAGAAGTAGGCACCGCACATTAGCTCTAGATCCGGGTTTCAAAGTCCGGCCGCAGGTTCTCGACCCTTACCGTTACCTTACGTCCCGAACAGTCAATCCTGGATCCTCCCGACAGTTTAGGTTCGGGCTTGGGGTTCGGGCTTTTTAGGGCTTAAGGTCAGGGTTTAGGGGTTTAGGGTTTAGGGTTTAGGTTTAGGGTTCAGAGTTTAGGGGTTTAGGGGTTTTAAGTTTTAGGTTTAGGGTTCAGGATTTAGGGGTTTAGGGTTTAGGTTTTAGGTTTAGGGTTCGGGGTTTAGGGTTCCAGAACCTATAGGCCCTAGGACGAACAATTGCCGTGTGGAGGGATCTGGTGATCGTTCTGTCCTAGGATTGCAAGCTCCCGGTAGAACTTCCAACTGCTGAGGAGGTTCCTTTTGTGGGACGGTCCGTATGGATTAATTACTTATTAAAACCTCTCACTACTTTGGGTATATTTGTTGGTGCCGCCGCTGCTCTGAACTTCGGGATTTCAGGTGTTTCGCTTCTGGGTGCTGGGGTAGAAGTTGAGGATTTAGAGCTTACAGGCTTAACGCTGTGGAGTCTTGTGGCTTGGAGTTTTGGGGTATGCATGTATGACGGTTTTAGGTTTCAGGGCCCAACCAGGCTGTAGCAGCTCATGTTCTCTACTGAAGATGGGCTTCCTGTCCGTTCGCCTTCGCTTTTAGGGTTTAGGGTTCAGTTTAGGGCTCGCGCCCCTCAACCCTATGTTGTAAACCCAAAAGACTTCTGAACCACACGAGGATTGAATAACAGTTCTACAACTACAAGGCTTTTAGAAGGGTCTGAGGATCTAGGGGGCCTGCATCAGTAGAAGAGGCTTGCGGGACCTCTTCCGCTATGATTCAGATTCCCGTACGGTGCTACTGCTATTCCGACCCCAAGAATGTTTACTCGCTCAAGCTGTGTATGGGCCTAACCCCTGAACCCTAAACCACTAAACCCCAAACCCCCAAACCCCTGAACCCTACACCCCTTTCTTAAGGCCTAGGCCTAGGACGCTGGCAGCCTGCAGTTCCGCTGGGCTCGCCATCATCCGAGCTGCCGACTTCCCCATCTCGGTCATGCCGGCTGGATGTGGGAAAATTCTCTGAAGTTTCTTAGGTGTTGCGCGCTTGGGGCTTATAAGGTTTAGGGTTTAGGGCTTAAGGTTCAGGGTTTGGGGTCTAGGCTTTACGTGAACGAACTCAAGGCAAGTTGCATGTGCTATTGCACAGAAAACTTGGAGAGCCAACAGCGAGCACAACTCCAGGAGATCAGCAAATACAGACTTCATAGCCACCTTTTGATTGCGTGCCGTGAGGCCCATGTTTTTTCTAAAGTCTCTTGGGGCAGTACTGAATTTAAGGTTTAGGGTCTCGGCTCTCACTGAGTCACGCTGTTATAGCGAGGGCCAGTGCCAGTCGTCTGAGCTTTTCCTGGGGCTTTTGGGGGTCTAGCTCTTTTTGGCTTCAAGACATCCGAGTGCCTGGGCCGGGAGGGGAGATCGAACCCTGAAAAGTATACTACAGGGCCAACGATGGAAGCAACGAAGTACTCAGCAAGTTCCCCAAAGCACTCCAAAGCTGCCATTCTACTATTTTAGGGCGATGAGTCTATAGGGGTTGTATGGCTGCGCAGTGACAAACAAGGGTTCTAGTTGGCCTTTCAGCCCAGTAAACCTCCATGTCACACCCTATTTGGTTAGGATGGAGAATGAGACAGGGTTTGGGGTGGCAACATGTACCACAAGCAAGTCGAGATTGCACACAGAAGGGACAGAAAGGACTCTTCAGAGCGTTGTGCCAAAGATCTCCTCAATCAGTGAGGCTCCAAAACTTCTGAACCCCTAATTCCCCTTTGCTGAGGAATGCGGTGGTTTTGATTTCTTGCCGAGCTGCTGAGTGCCCTCGCAGCCCAGCCTGAAGTCGTCAGCGCATCCGCAACCCTGCAGCCTGAACCCTAAACCCTAAATCCTAATCCCTTGACCCTAATCCCAGGCCTCCAGACCCGTTTTCACCTTGTGTCTTCAAGTTTTTCGGCTAAGGGGTCGAGGGGCTGGGGTCCCAGGTCTGATGCTCGGAAACTCTCGGTGACACCAAGCATAGTAAACCCCAATAAGTTGGAAACCGGATTGAGGACACATAGTGCCTGGATTCCCTATACATCACCCTTAAGGACTGAGGGTATTGGGTTTCCAGCTTTTGGGCTTCTACTATACGAAAAACCGATGACAAATCACTGAGGCATCAAGTCTCTGGACATGCTGGCTACATACGCCCTCAAATTCGCCCCCGTTTGAAGCGGTCAGAGCTTCCCTCTCGGCACTCACTGACCCCCGCAAGAGAAATGGAGTTTGGAATGTGGAGAAAAAGCACTTTGCTCTCCCTGAAGCCACTAAAGAAAACGCTACACCCCAACTTACAGAACACCCGACGCACCTCACCAGGAACCCGGTCAGCAAGTAAAACCACAAAACAGGCCAGAAAGCTCAAATACCCTCAATTAAGAACGCAGAGCGCCCGACCGACACCTTTCTTGTAGGGGCCTTCATACCTAGAACACAAGTACATGACAGCATAAACACAGTACGGGCCCCTGAGGAATTACAGTGGTAATATTTCAGGCATCTATATCAAGTATCATAAACATACATATATACGCACACACACTCACACGCATACCTCTAACTATGCTTATCATGCCTTTTGGCTATATATCTATCTATCTATCTATCCATCCATCTATCTATCTATCTATCTATCAAATATCTATCTGTCTATCTCTCTCTCTCCTCTCTCTCTATATATATATATAAAGTACACATGCAACTTTCCAGACCCCCAAGCAGCCCGAAGAGCCAGGTGGCAGTTGTGGTTGGCCTTGGGGTCACCGACTTCCGACCTCTTGAAGTTTAGGGTTTAGGGGCTTAGGAGTTAGGGTTTCGGCTTTAGGGTGGAGGGCTTCGGGCCTAGGCTTTAGGTCAGGGCTT